GAATAGCAGAATTTTTGCAACATTTTCTTTGATCGTTATGGATGTAATGTTTTTTTTTGGATTGAATCGATTACTGCATTCAAATCATGGGGAATCATTTTGGTGGAATATTATGATCAGGAGAGAACATTAAATCTTTAAATGCTCAGTTTAAAAATGCTGTTTGTTTGTCAGTGGTCTGACCCGCACAAACTGGGCCGTCAGTGTGTTTGACTTCTTTTCTTGTGATCTTTTTAAGGTCACCTTAACGCGGACTTAATGCATGAGAAAAAAACAATGGATCAAGTCCTATGATAGAATAAATAGTTATTCCAAGTCTGGAAGAAAAGTTATGTTGTTAAACTCTAATGACAATATGGATCAATGAGTGCAAAAACATTCGACTATCAGTCAACAATAGGCAGTATCTGACGAATGAGGATCAAATATGTGAATCCTTAGTCTGAGGCAGGCCTAGTCTATCCATATGGTGTTCTGTCCCTTAAAGTGTCTGTCTAACTTTTTTCCTCTTTCTCACCCTGTACTCAGTTATGCATGACACATCTCAGAGTTTGTACTTCATGACACCTAAATATGTATAAATATGTAATGTCACCCATTACCAAGGGTGACATTGCACATACACGATCACTCATGCCATCTGCCACCAAGTATGATAGTGCTGTTATCATCCCTTTCCAGCAAAGGCAATCTGAAGGACAGAGGGCTACATTTATGTACATACCCGATAGCTTCTTAAACTCATTAATGCATACGGTGAAACATCAAATATGGACTATAGGCTTGACCTACCAGAACACGATGAAGGGCACCATATTGTCTACTCAGACAGAGACAAATACTATGTGTGGTATAGATGTGAGGGTATGAGTTAATCAGTATTGTATAAATCCTAAATGGATTTGAGCTTTTCTAATCTTCAGAATACTATGAAAAGCACTTTTACACTGCATGTCACACCTAAACATTTACACCCATTTACACACTGATGACAGATGTTTCTATGTAGTATCATCCATCAGAAGTAACTAATCCCATTCATTCACCGCTGATGAAGCAGTGGGAGCAATTTGGGGTGAAGTGTCTTGCGCAAGGACACAGGTTGCTGCAGGAACTGGGGATCGAACCATTGACCTTTCAGTTGAGAGATGATGACTCTACCAACTGAGCCACAGCCACAAGCCTGACTATCATGGTTGCTTAAGACAGTCTGTAAAACTTTTTCTTTCTTTTTTTTCTCTCCAACTTTTGACCAGGCCTCAGAGAGGTATGCGTGTGTGTCAGGGCTTTGAATAAACACCCAGAAAATGTAATACGCATATAAGAGACACCCCACCATGTCTTAAACTGTATCTGACAATTACAAATCACAAGGTTCTCTCACTCAGTTAATGATTACTTGTGTATCTAATGAATGACCTTTAAACATATGGTTAACATCACATATCATTACCATGCTTTATAGACAAGTAATGACGACCAACAACCACATGTTCAGGTTGCAGCCTTATTAATTAAAGCATGGGTTGTTCCATTTGATAAACAGCCTCCAGTGGGTGGTGATTCCCTCTAAGCTTGGGATTCATTGGGAAAGTTACTGCAGATGACAGGACATGAGCTAAATGAAGTTTGCTAAAGGCTATTGCAGCATTTTGTTGCACTTATGAGGACTGCCTTGATGACAAACCATCTGTTTGGTAACTTTGTCAAATAAATGTCCATAAAATGTGCCATAAACATGAAACCAGAGGAGGATTATAATTTTTCCTCACACAAGTCATTAAGTTTATTATTGCCATACATAGAGAGGGAGTCGCAAGCCATCTCCATTGAAGAAATTCAGTGCAGTCTCTTGTGAATGCGTTACCCTGTTATATCTCTTCTCTCTTTTTGTTTCTTTGTTTTTCAGGCACTCAGTCTGTATTCTGCATCAAATGCCTCCCTGAGTGGCAGCAGCTTTACACCAATCCCTCTTCATCAAATTGGTGATAGGGAGTATGAAAGGTTAATGGCACCTTGTAAAATGTCAGGTTTTTCAGACATCGTCTGAGCAGACAACAGACAGCGGAAAATACAATTCATGGGGAAACCTATAATCTAGATTATATGAGGCGCTTTTCACCACATGCAAGAGAGATGTGGAGTCTTTGACACTGGGCGTCTGAGGCTCAATTAGTAGAGTCCGTCACCTGAATCTGCAGCAACGTGTCTGGTGTGTCTTTGGGCAAGACAACTGCTCCCGCTGCTTCATCGGCAGCATATGAGTGTGTATGAATAGGGTTAGTTACTTGTGATGGTCATTTTACATAGAAACCTCTACCATCAGTGTGTGAATGGGTAGGTGTGACCTGCAGTGTAAAAGAGCTTGAGTAGTCAGAAGACTAGAAAAGTGTTCAAGTCCATTTGACTCAGGATATCAATTTTATGGATGACAGTAGCAGCTAAGCAACCAAACACTGTGGACATTATTTACTAATATCCCACGTAAAGAGTCCTAAATTGCGTGTTCACTCCAAAAAATTGTACATTTGGTTGATGTGCGGTTTGCGGGTGATCGACTTAGAAAAATTGCGAGTATGATAACAGGTGCAAAGATTGTGTAGGCGGAAGGATTTTAATTAAGCTTTTGGTGTTTTACTGGTGACGTCATGGAGAGTTTGGACAGAAAGCAGAATGACTGCAAGTGCCAAATTAAATTCAGTCCCATGTAATTAAAGGTATAAGTGGAAGAGGCGAATAAGCAGGCCCTCTAGTATTAAGAAACAGATTTTGATCCTGAAACACCATCATTTAATTTTGTCACCAGTTTTAATAACAAGGTCATCTTTTTTGAATGACCTCAGCCAATCATTTTGAAACAATAATTAGTCAGGTCTAACCCTAAAACATGTTGAGCTCTTAGAAACAACCTGAGCAAAATGTAACAAGCAGCTTGTTGCGTTCAAGAGAGACAGTTTTTGAACTACTTTATTCAAGTGTTTCAAATGATCTTTACTTAAAATACTGACAACCATAAAAAATAACTTTAGAGTGTGTAATGGACAACTTCAGTGCATAAGGGATGTACCCTCAACGATACCATATGAATCCCAATTCTGGGTTCATGATAAGGATGATATACCAGTGTGCTTAACTATTTCCTGATTTGTGTCAAAATTGTCATTTTCATAAAGACATGAGAAGTTCATTTATGAGTAGCACTTGCTTCACCGTGCACACACGAGAAATTACATGTCGTATTCCCATTTTATATACAATTTCAGCTCTTTTTCCAATAATTGTAACATGTAAATCCAAAAAGTCATGCACAAGGAATGCAATAAGGTAAGCAAACCTCCTAGCAAGGTTAGTGCTGCCAGTATGGAAGTGCCAGGTATCCCCCCCAAAGGCAGCTTCCCCCAGGACTCCCACTCTGTCAGCTGTGCAATGAACCAGCGACCTCCAGCAAACACCTCCCTTGCCCCCCCCCCCCATCCCTATTCCATTGTATACCCTTGGTTTGTAAGGAACAGCTAGGCAGAGGGGGGTAGGGGTGGGGGGAGTTGAGAACAGGCACTAAGAGGTGGATGTGTAATAAAAAAAAAGTAATTTTGACTGAGACACAATGACAGTAAAGATATATAGGCCAACAAAGGCAAGAATCAGCAACCATTTTTTCAGTATGAGAGGGGTGTGTCCATGTTTGTCTGTGAATGTGTTTGTGTCATTCTTGATATTTAAAAATGGGGCACTCAATCTATCTCAAGAGAGATAGGTGCCAGTTTGTGAAAGTGTATCATTTCACACTCATCATAAGTATTTTTTCTGTCATCTCTGTTCATGTACAGAATCATCTTTACAGGTTGGGTTAGGGTTAGGGTTACACATTGCACATTGCACCCAGAAATTCAGCTTAGCAGGAAACAGCTACAAGGCAAAATGACATCAGTGATCAAACCCCCAGGAATGCTTGCCGTCACTCACACTGGCACACACACTGCTCTAGAAACAACAGGAGTGTTAGTGTGCATCAGGGTTAAAGGGATACAGCAAGGCACATTCACAGACACACAGCCAGAACTAAATAATTGCGAAACAAAGTGACAGGGCAGTCTTTAAAAAAACAATGCTGACACATGACTGAACTTGTCCCTGACCAACTGGGTAAGACGACATGCAATCATATTTTCCTCTATAAAAAACCCTGCAGGGGTCTGCAGAGCCAGGATGGAGAATATCCTTTCTGACAGGTCAGTTAACCAGCTGACTACTTTGGAAATAGCAAGAGTGTGAGAATATGTGTGTGCCAAAAGTTGAATGGACATGACAACCATGGGTGTGCATTCCCACACATACTGGCATACAGCCACCCATGCTTATGCATGCACACAAATGCAAAAACACACATCCGTTACCTATCTTATGTCAAAGTGAGAGTAAAAAAAACGTTGGAAAAGGGCAAACTGTGCAGCTGCAGTACATATAAACACACAGGTTACAGCATTCTAAAGCCTGGGTAGCCATTCAAACAGCTCTTGGTAACAGTAACCCATGGCAACCCTAAAACCTGCACCCTTTCCCTTCCTCCTCAAGAGACACAGATCAATTGCACCGTTAAGGGAGAATGGAATGAGCTATAGCAGACGGTGTGCCAGAGAGTGAAAGGAGACTGTAACTTTACCCACTCTACCCTCACTAAAGTGTGACTCTACCCCCTCTTAAAGGTTCAAGAGGTTAATTATTCAACATGAGAAGGGATTTGTTGGGGAACTGAGAGTGGATACAAGCCAACAGAAAAATCATCATTTTGTTCAACTCATTCAGTCATGACTTTCAGATATGCACTTATTCCCATGAGGGAAGAATTTTCAACTTCCTTTACACACAGATACACATCTGAAACACAAACACATGCTTGGGAACATTTGCAAGACTAGACATAGAGAGTGAACTCATCCTTCTACACATGTTTGCAGCTTCTCAGCAGTTTGTTCCCTCCACACTCATATCGCTTCTCTTACCGTTGTGGTTGTGCTGCAGGATCTCGACCATGCCGGAGTCGGTAGCCCCAAGCTCGGCCAGTCTGCTGCTGGTGGCGCTCAGCTCTGACCGCAGGTTTGTCACCTCCTGACTGGCGGACTGGATGGCACCATCGATGCGTTGAGCCAACTGCTTGTTGTCATCCATCATTTTCAGGATTTTTGCCTGAGGTGGAGAGGGGAATCCAGACAACGTGTCATGCTGACAAGTTTACCATTTCCTGTGGCGGAAGGTGTCCCCAAATAAATCCTTCTCTGTCTTGTTCTCACTCCCGTTTTACGGAGACAGCCAAGTTAAATCCTCAAATCAGCATGTCCTCCCCCTTTAACAGAGGCATCTGGTTCAAGGGGAAGTGTGTATCTGCCGAAGGGAGTGCACTCTCAGGAGGTATGTTTAAGTGGTGAGTGTTTCAGTATGCGATCATGCCTGTGTGTGTATTTGAGTTCTGTAACGGCATGACGTTTGTGTTTGTGTGTGTGTGTGTGTGTGTGTGTGTGTGTGTGTGTGTGTGTGTGTGTGTGTGTGTGTGTGTGTGTGTGTGTGTAGTGTGTAGTGTGTAGTGTAGACAGCCAGCACTGCCTCTGTGATATGTACTCCCTCCAGCTGACTGTTGAAAGGACACAGCGCATTGAGAGATGACAAGCACCTTTTTTAAATGGACTGAACCATTTGGAGAGAAAGTCGGAGGGGGGGTCAGCTAAACCATCTGAGAACATGGAAATCTGAGATCCTTCATTATGAAGATACTGTTGTAAGAATCTTGGATTTTAAGTTTATCTAAACTGACACAGGAAAAGTGACTAATCCTGTGAAACACTGTAGCCTTTCCTCCTACTACCTTTACAGATCCTGAATGCAACACCATGTGTGCTCTCATGAGCGAAGGGGGGCAAATTGTTAGTTATACAAAGAGGCAGTTGAGGGGATGTAAAATAATCGTCATGCACAAACATGGTATTTAGCAAAATAGTTAAATATAAATTTGGGGATATAACATACGCAAATGTTTCTCTGTGCCGGTTGGATTGGAAAATAACCAATTACAATATCCTTAATGTGAAAAGGGTTCATGTAAAGAATGAGTATTTAGTTTTGGACAAGAGAGCTCTTCCAAAACTCAAACCACAGGGTCAGTAAAAACCTTTATCAACTGAACAGTTAGAGATTACAGTCACGGTCTGGTTTAAGACAGTATTGAGTTCTAGAAGAAAACGTTCTTTTAGGAAGAAATATTCTTATAGCTCAGGAAATGTGTTTTGACTGAAGGTTGTAAAAAAAAAAAAAAAAAGTACTCGAACAACTCCGAGTAGTTGTCCTTGGGCTGCAGACTTGAGCTCCAGGTCCCACCCAACAACCCCACTCTATCCTTAAATTCTCAGCTGTGAACCAACATTCGGCTGTCAAAGCATGCCCACTTACTCAGCAGTACAGCTGTGTTGTTATATTTTGTCAAGGTTATGTGAACTTAGACCCAGAACCATGGTACATGTGGTAAGCACAGATCAGCCACCAATCTGCACTACACAGCGAGTAACTGCTGTGTGTGCGTGCGTGTGTGTGTGTGTGTGTGTGTGTGTGTGTGTGTGTGTGGGCTAATTATTAAGGGCCACAGTGTTGTTTCAAATAGAAACTTACTGACAGCCTGCTACAGTATGCACTGCTGACAAAGGGGCAGGAGGAAACAACTCACACAATCAAATAGGGTAACAATATACACATATTCCACATTTATCCATCCGCTCAGACACAGGACACCTCTCCCCGTCAGTATATGGACATCATGCTGTTATTTATAGACGACCCTGCTGTGGTATTTAATACATTAGTTACAGGGGAGGGCAGGCACAGACACACACATCTTCTGTCCAGTCATTCACACACACATACACAAGGGTGGTAAGACGCCTAAAATATTACCATATTCATGGTTTCTTTTGTTGTTGGGTGCCTTGTTGTTTATTAGGAACCTGTCATGTTCATGTTTTGTTTAAACTAGAGATATATCTGACATTGCAGGACTCTTAGTTTTTTTCCTAGAGACTGTATTGCATCAATAAACTGCATGTGTACACATTAGTCCAAAGCTTGCCCCTGAACTGTGAACTCGAAAAGTTTTACTACTCAAAGATATTAAGGGTACAGCATTCAAAAACATGTAGTTTGCGGCTTAATTTAAGCCATTTTTATCCGTGCCGAAGCACACCTCTCCGAAGTGTGCCAAAGCCAAGGAAGTGTACCGTGCCTAAGCACGGCACGGAGCGGTCACACTGGCCAAACTAACTGGACTTTAGGGTTGAAGCGTGCTTGGGCACATTACAGATGGCCAATGTGACCGGGCCCTAAAGAAAATTTAAAAAATAAATTTAGTTCTCTGAACGAGTGATGTTGTAATTTTATGTGGATCAATGTTATTGAGTAAATATCCATGTCTAAATCATATTATTTATATTTATAGTATACAGAGAGACACAACGGGTGACGCTGTTGAAAAACTCACGATGGCTATGCTTTGTGAAGCAACACGAGTTTGAAATAAAGCTAATATTAATGTCAACATGTGACTGAAGCCACTGTACCATTCATTGACTGCCGGCATTATTTTAAAGGAAGAATGTGCAAATTTTTGATCCAGTAGATGTCGCCCTTGAGCACCAGCATGAAACCAAAACAAACTGCTGTCACTGCTGACACCTCAAATGTTCTGAAGCTTCCGCTCTCCTCCAGAGACACACATCAGATTCCCTCTCCACTCGCCTTCACACCAAGGGGTTATCAATTAGAATGCACCATAATTAAGCAACATTAAGCGCAAGCGGCGGACAAATTTGTTTTTGGCTCGAGCTGCTATTGCCTGTGGTCTGCATTGTTGTGCTAGCAGGCTAATGTTAGCACACTTTGGTTAACTGATAGCTTCAAATATATATATTGTATACTCGTTTTAATCAGATGTTAGTTGTCGTGTTTTCACCCAATGGGGATGTTTGAAAACAGGGTGACTGTCGTTTCGGCCAATCAGAGGCCACCAACGGCGGTTGGTCCTGCCCACCTGTTCAGGTCTGTGCGTAGCAGGGTGCTGTGCCCGTTATGTGTGTAGAGAGGCCATAACGTTGGAGCTGAACTGATTGAAGTCTGAATTAAACGAGGGAACTAGGAGATACATTTGGGGTGGATTCTGCTGAGGATAGCAGGGAGGAAGAGACCCCGTGGCATTACTGGGCGTTGCCGTATTTTGTGTCTGCTCAGTTCACTCAGAGATTGGTCAGGTTTTTTTTTTGTTTGTTGGATTGTTCTGGTAACCCGTCCAGTGAAATAGATGGCGAGCCTTCCCACCTGGATCTGAAGAGAGAGACACCTTGTGGTCACTGGACAGGTTCTGCCTCACTTTTTGGTGTGGTAGGCCCAGTTTTCGCTCACACCTTCACACACACAGCCCCACATACAATTCCCCTTTTTCCCAACCACTTATACACACACTCTGAATACCCCAGACTTACTCTTTTTTCCTTTAAGATCCCGGGAACTTTTGGACTGACACTTTTGGACTTTTCTTACATCTAAGACGATTCAAGGACGATTCAAAATACCAGCACCTCATTCTGGGAACTGTAAAAGGGTGGCCGATGTGTAGGATACCCTCCTAATGAATGGTGTTTGTGATTTGATTTGATAAGAGATTTAATTTGTTATTGTGAACTGAACTTGATTTGAATAACTTGAAAGTTAGATACAGGATTCAGGTTACAAGGGTGCACCCAAGATAGAAAAGCTAATTTGATATTAGAAAATTGTCTTGTTATTTGTGTATGGTACCAACTGATGTTTGTCAAAACTACTTTTTCTACTAAAGCTGGTAAATGTTTTACATTTATTACCTGTCTCTGAGCCTCATTTGAACACTCCACTTTGCTCCAGTAGCCGAACCTATTGTCCCTTTAAAATCTTATATTGCAAGCATTAATTACCCCTTTTTGGATGTTACAAGTAACTACTACTTAAGAATAAAATCTAGCCTGAATAAAATCTAAGAAGAGGCTGGCTTCTGCCACTTTGATGTCTGTGCTGGATTACGGTGATGTTTTATACATGCACGCCTCCTCACAAAGCTCACATGCTCTGGACACTGTGAATCATGGAGCTCTGAGGTTCATCACTAATCTTAAATCCCTCACTCATCACTGTGTGTTTATTTTCGATCTACTTCCTTCATACCTTCTAACCTTCATCAGTCAGAAGAGTACAGGGATTTATAATCTTCGATCTCAGGACCTTTTCTTACTGTCTGTTCCTAAAGTCAGAACTAAACTGGGGAAAAAGGCCTTTAAGTTTTCTGCTCCCTTTACTTAAAACAAATTACAAAAAGAGCTATGAACTTCTCTTGTTGGATGCTTTTAAGAGGAAGTTAAATGACTTGGAGGTGGACACATCTGGCTGTAGCTGTTCTCCCTGATGTGTTTGTGGATGATTTTGACAAACATTTGCTGTTCAGATTTGTTGTTTGTTGTTTTAATGTTTAATGTTTTAATGTTTAATGTTTAATGTTTTAATGGGTTTTTTTTGCAGTTTGGCTGCTCATTGTCTGTGTGAAACTCTGTTGATTGTGCTGCTGCCTGTTTAAGCCAGGACACTCTTTAAAAGGGATTTTTAATCTCTTTTATTTCCCGGTTAAATAAAAGAGAAAAAAAGGTAACGTTAACAGAAGCTATAATGTTAGCATGCTAATACCTTGAGCTAACTGTTTTTGAAACTGCACCAATGTTATTTAGCTTTAACGTGGCCCTACTGTGAAAGCAGGGAAGCTGTTGCACTGAACGTAACTTGTTTGAGATCAAATATAATGTTTGTTGACATTGTAAACATTTGTCAAAACATATGATCATGAAGAACAGAGCTTAGGCCATTTTTGTTGTTTGTTTGGGTTTTGTTATTGGGTACAGAACATGTGGAGTAACGTCCATTTATTTGAAGTATTCTTAAACATCAAATTGATATAATGATGTATGACATTTATTTTTGAAAACTGTTATAAATACTACTTAAAATATTAGATATTGAATTACTGTACAAGTATCCAACAAGGAGATTAAAAGTGTTTTCTTACACACACACACACACACACACACGTTTATATAGCTTTAACTTACCTTTGAATAGAGAATTGTGTAACTAACTAAGATATGTTTGTTAGATGAGAGCTCATGGTTCTTAATTGGATGAGCACTGTGTTTTTCAAGCTTTAAAAACTTCTGGTAAGAGGTAATGTGAAATGGTTTGAAGCTGTTTTAAAAGTGTCATATTATTAACTGTGAACCCATAGCTTTTTGTCTGCCCCACAAGTAGAGTTATCCTCTTTCTTAGCTACTATAGGGACATTTTTCCACTGTGAAACAAAAGTTTCATATTGGTGAGCGTTGTTTGTTGAAACTGTAGTTTTTGGTCTGATGAACTGTACTGTAAAAAAGTTTCAAACAGTGCAAGCAGTTTTTCACAAGGCCATTATTTTGTAGACTAATCTTAAGCTTGTTTTCATTTTGTGCCCATTATGGGACACAGGGAGATAAAGGCATTTAATCATTCCAAAGTCACCTGACTCA